GGGAAGTAGGAAAAACTTGTTCAAATGAGAAGAGGAACAAAGAAGATGGGAGCAGAAGGGAAGGAAGGGAAAGGGAATTTTAAAAAGAGAGAAGGGAGCAGTCTAAGCGGTGAGGTGGGGCAGAAAGCAGGTTAGGAAGACAATGAGGAGGTATGAAGCAGGAGCCAAGTCTCTGTGAACTGGCTCCTATGGGGTGGTCAAGCTGGCCTACAAGGAGAATGACAACACCTACTATGCCATGAAGGTACTGTCCAAGAAGAAGCTGATCTGACAGGCTGGTTTCCCAAGTCACCCCCTACCCCGGGGCACCTGTCCAGCCCTGGGTGGCTGCATCCAGCCCCGGGGTCCCATCAAGCAGGTGTACCAGGAAATTACCATCCTCAAGAAGCTGGACCACCCCAGCATGGTCCTGGATGACCCCAATCAAGACCATCTGTACATGGTGTTTGAACTGGCCAACCAGAGCAGAGGCCTGTGATGGAAGTGCCCACCCTCAAACCCCTCTCCGAGGACCAGGCTCACTTTTACTTCCAGAATCTGATCAAAGGCATCGAGTACCTACACTACCAGAAGATCACCCACCAAACCCTCCAATCTCTTGGTGGGAGATGACAGCCACATCAAGATCGCAGACTTCAGCATCAACAAGGAGTTCAAGGGCAATGATGCTCTCCTGTCCAACATCATGAGTGCGCCTGCTTCATGGCACCCACAAGATCCAAGACCCTCAAGATCTTCTCTGGGAAGGCCTTGGAAGTGTGGGCCATGGATGTGACGCTGTACTGCTTTGTCTTTGGCCATTGACCATTCATGGACCAGCGGATCATGTGTCTGCATAGTAAGGTCAAGAGTCAGGCCCTGGAATTCCCAGACCAGCCTCACATAGCCGAGGATCTGAAGGATCTGATCACCCGTTTGTTGGAAAAGAACCTTGAGCGGAGGTGCCGGAAATCAAGCTTCATCCCTGGGTCACGAGGCACGGGGCCAAGCCACTGCCATCGGAGGATGAGAACTGCACACTGGTCAAGGTGACCAAAGAGGAAGTCGAGAATTCAAACACATCCCCAGCCTGGCGACTGTGATCCAGGTGAAGACCATGATCCGAAAGCACTCCTTAGGGAACCCGTTCCAGGGCAGCCATCTGGAGGAGCGCTCGCTGTCTGCCCCGGGAACCTGCTCAGGAAGCAAAGCAGCGGAAGACAGCTCTCTAGGTCGCGACCCAGCCTCCGCGGGAGTGGAGGAAGTGCTCCTGTCAACGGTGGGCCCTGCACCAAGGTTGGGGGCTGCGGCCGCTGGCTCCCCTACCCGCACGCATCCGCTGCAGCCCGAGAAGGCGATGGAGCTGGAGTAGCTGCTGGACCGCTGACCTCGCCTGCAGGCTGCTGCTCCGAGTTTCCATAGCAGCATGTCCTACGGAAACTGAGCCCAAGCGCAGAGCCTTGGCCGCCATCTCTGGTACTTTGCTTTGTCTTTTTTCCTTTGCTGTCTTAAAGGAGACAATAAAACTAGACTTGACTCCGTGAAGTCAACCATTGCCACCGGCTGGCCAGACTGGCGGGTGTGAGGACCTGCAGACCCAAACCCCTGTACATTCCGGGACAATTGCTTTTTAAAACATTTTAATGCCAAAAATCCTTCATCATGAATTCAGAACCATGTCAGATGTACCAATCGAACGTGAGTGAGGTTTGAACAATGCGGAGAAAGAAGCAGAGAGCTCTAGCAGGCCGTGCCATGGAGTGCAGCAAGGGAGGAGGCTCGCAGGGACACTGTGCGTCCCTGGTGACCCCTCTGAGCCATGGAGGCCTGGGGCCAGGGCTCGTGGCTGCAGGGATCTTTGAAGCAACTTCACTTGCATGAAGAACTTTTGAATTTTTTATGGATAGAATGTAGTTAGGAAAACCGAAAAAATAAAAAAGAAAGAAGGGAAGAGGAAAAATGGAAACAAAGCTTTTGTAAATAGGGAGGGGAAGAGAGGTTGAAGGGAGGGGAGGGGAATGGAGAAAAACAGAATAATTAAGACATGTTATGTACAGGTACAAATTCCCTATGATGAGTGTGATCACTATGTATGGCAAATATGTACTAATAAAAGTAAGAAAGAAAAATCCAAGAGGACCACATAGGCTAATAACATGAATTAAAAGAAAACAAGTTTAAAAAGCTAACAGCAAATAAGTATTTGGAGTGCATAGGTTAAAGTAGATTACAAATAATACAAGAAAATGAACTGAATTTAGCAATTAAGCAAACAATATTTTATTATTCAATACCTGCTATATGCTAGAGAACAAATTGCACACCGAAATCAAAATATATGGAAGACTTTTTCACAACAACTTGAAGAAATAGAAGTCAGAGGAGGAACTACTTCCAAGTTCTGCAGACTCCATGGAGCGATCAGCAGGCTGCCTTGCTTCACTGGGAGTGACTCCAGGAACAGGTCTATACACATCCATGAATGCAGAGATGGACACTTGGCCTTAGAGTTCTGTAGCTTGGCATCACACATCTGCTTCAAGAATGGAGTGTATCTGGATACAATGAAGACAAGGACTTCTCCAGTCAATCTTGTTGGGTGGACATGGTGGGAGGCTCAGCATCCTCACTGCTTGCAGTTCCGGGAGAGTTCAGCAGTTGGTTCCAGGTGGCATGCATGCCTGTGAATGTTTTTCCTTTGGTCCAGATTTCTTTGCTTCAATGCTCCACCTCCTCTCATGGCCAGGAGCAGATGGAGGATTTGGCAGCCATGCAAGAACAGTGGCACATGTCACCCCACTGCACCTTCTGCAGCTCCAGTCCAATGCACTGTACTCTTGAAGTTTTAATTAAAGTATGATGTGGGAGGTTCTTTTCTGGTCATGCCAGTTTGGGGTTCTAAATGGCTCCTGTACCTGGATGTTTATATCTTTCTCAAGGTTTAGGAAATTCTCTATTATTTCACTGAGTAATTTTTTGCACTTTTAGTCTTGGAGTTCTCTTCTAATAAAAGAAAAACTCATAAATTTTGTCTTTGAAATAAAAAATAAATGTAAATTTTCACTACCTTTGAAAAAAGTTTGTGTTGATGGTGACTTCACAATGTTGCTCCCCCCGACCCTTTTTTGGACACGTTGTCACTATCAGCTCAGGCTGGCCTCAAACTTACTGTGTTGCCCTTGATGGCCTCAAACTCACATCCATCTGCCTCAGCCTCCCAAGTGCTGGGATTACAGGCATGACCCAGATTTCCATTTCCTTCCTAAGGAAGGTGACATGTCCCAGTTTGTCTCCACATTCCCAGTCTAGCTGTCTTGGCATAATAATTAATAATTAACAGTGCAAAGTTCTAGGGGCTCCTAGAGATTTCTTAGTATTTTCTTTGTAGATGATCATTTCATCTACATATAAAGATGTTGCTTCTACCTTGCCAATCCTATCCTAATTGTGTCATTTTATTGCCAGACTATTTTGGTTTGGGCCTAGGTTTCAAAGTTTAATGGACAGGTGAAGAATACGCATGTCTGCCCTTGTTCCCCACCTTAAGGAGAAAGCATTGTATCGTCTCCATTCATATAACGCATTCTCGCTGGAAGTATGGAGTACATGTCTTTAATCTGTTGAGAAGGTTCTGTTCTACTTCTAGTCTCCTGATAGCTTTTACCATGAACAGCTGTGGAATTTAGTCCAATCCTTTTTCTCCAACTAGTGACAGGATCATATGGCTTTTTCCTTTCCTCTGTTAAAATGATGACTTTTGGGGGTGGATCTTCCAATGTTGAACCAACACTGTCATCCCTATAATAAACCCACTTTCTACATACTGCCAGATCTGACTTCTAATAGTTTGTTTTGTTAAACAAATTTCTATCTATATTCATACTTTTTTCTTCTGTTATCTTTATCCAATTTAGGATTAGCACAATGTTGATTTCCTAAAATGAGGGGAGAAGTGTTCCTTTTTTTTTCTGCTTTAAATGTTTGATATAATTTATAGTTAAAATGTATATGAGCCTGTTGTCATATAGGTAGGTTTTCAAGCTAGGAATATACTTTCTTTAATAGGTGCTATTCAAATTTTATATTTCCTCCAGAGTTAGTTTCATTAATTTGTCTTCCAAGGTACTTCTTAGAAGTTGTCAAATTTATTTCAAAACAGATTTTTGAAATATGCTTTCTATATCCTTTTAAAATTCTGTAAAATCTGTGGTAATATCTCCTAGATCTTGATATTGTAATTTAAAAAATGTATAACTGATATTGTGTAACAGGAAGAAAAGGTCTAAAGGAGCAGGGGAAGTGGGAGGGGTAGGGGAAAGGAAGGGAAAAGAAAAAATATGAGAAAAGGAAAAAAATGGAAACAAAATCTTTGCAAATAGGGAAGGGTGGAGGGGGTGAAGGGAGGGCAGGGGAAGGGGGAAAAAATAAGAACCAAGTTATTCATGTAATGGTACAAGATTCCAATGATGTATGTAAATGTATTTTATACCTAAAATATACCAATAAACTTAATAAGGAAAAAAAAATTAACAGTGCATCCCTCCACTCTTAAATGTATCTTGGTTTGGATAACAAATTACATCATTGTCTCCCCTCAGATGTAACTCAGTTAGGGTCCCCTGAGCCTTCCTGGCAGACCCTTAGTCCATATTTTTCTACTGCTCTCCCCACATTTCTCCTTCAGAACCAAGGAACCCCAACATATTCCTCCTGACTCCTGTGCTCTGGACACATGCACATGAGGGTTATCAAAGCCCATGTCGACCCAGTGGGGCTGCCTCTCTGAGCTGTCCCTGAACGTCACTGAAGCTGGCCACCTCTGGCCTTTGGGAGGCTCAGACCAATGTAGGGCAGGGTACACTAACAGGTTCTGGCCATCTCATGTCCCCCATTGTTAAAATCCCATCTCTGTGCCTCCAGAGACACTGTGCCAATCCAGAGCCCAGCAGAACTGCTCCTCAGAGACAAGCAGCACTGGCTCAACGAAGGTGCCCACAGACAGAAGCAGCCACAGGCAGGTCTTTAGATGAATAAAATGAAACTTTACTTTCATATTGTGTGGAACGTTTTTTGAAATAGCAATTGTTATCTGACCCCAAAACTCCTGATACTCTTAACAGCTAAAAGTTTACTTTCTGTACAACTATATAAATATTTTCAATTCTATATATGAATGTGATGCTAATGGTTCTAGAAGTTTTAAAACTTAACACAGTTAGAATCTTTAGAAAATCATTAGCCTAATTCCAAAATAAGAAATATTTCCAAGCAAGAATACAGAAAAGACAGAATGGGGATGGATAGTGGGAGGGGGCTGGCAGAAAAGTGAAGACTGCAAACAATAAAACACAACAAAACCCTGAACTTGGATTTTAGAATATAAAACCCAGCAAAAATTGTATTATATGTAAAAATTGAAACTAATCATCCAAAGTGAAAGTGAAATGAACTCATGACCAACTGCATTCTAAGTTTTTTTGTTTTGTTTTTTCAGGTACCAGGGATCAAACTCAGGACCTTGCACTTGCCAGGCAGGCGCAGCACCACTGAGGTACCATCTCCAGCCCAAGCATTCTAAGTTGATACAACTAATACATCACTTGAAAATGTGCTCTTCCAAGAGCAAAGACTTTTTTCTAGTTTATTCTTATCAAGCAAACTGATAAGGCAGTAGCACAATTAGAGAAAAACCTTCAGAGCCAACAGAGATGGCATGTATATTGGCTGTGTGATATCAAGCAAGACACGTAGCCTCTCTTGCCGTTTCCTTGCCTATAAAATGTGGACAGTAATAGCTACCTTGCTATTTTGTTGGAGGATCAGAGGTAAAACTGACAAAGAGCACTGACATTGCCCCTGGCAAATAAGCAACGCTCAATAAATACAATTATTTTGTGTGTGAGACCCAGGTTTCACCTTAGAGTAATCTGATTCTGTCACCCTGCTCCCAGGGGTCATGTCAATCACCACTGACTTCAGAGTCTGTAACCTGGCCCATCCCTGCCCCTCCAATGCCACACTACCACAAGAGCCACTGAAGGGTAAAAGTGGTCATTCCAAACTCAGAAAACGCAGGCAAGACTATAGTCTCTGCAAAGGCAGGCATGGGGTTGGTGGCCTAGAGAGGTAGTAGTGGATGCGCTGCTGTATTTTGATCAAGGCTATGAAGCAACAGGCGTACAGGAAACAGCTGTGGTGCAGGTAAAGGAGGAAACTCACAGATACCAATCTACTAAGAATTAATTGAACTACTTAACAGCCCCAGATTATTCTACTTTTGAAATTGACAACCAATTGAGTTGCTCAGTATGAAATGGTATGAGCTTCCAGCCCCTTCCTCAGGTCAGAAAAATGACATTACTGCATGGCAGGAATGTGTAAACAGTTCTATGGCTCAATTAGAGCATCAAGCAGTTTCAATTGAGAATCTGGAACTAATGTCACAGCATGGATGTAATGCCTGGAAAGTAACAAAAATCTCATTCATATGATTGAACACACACAGAAAGAGCTTCAGAAGTTAAGGAAACATATTCAAGATTTAAACTGGCAGTGAATGAACATGCAACTCACAGCTGGATCTAAATTGAGAGAAGTGGAGTCAAATTGGGTGTCCCTGGTCAGTAAGAATTATGAGACTTAACACAGACTATTTATTGTGCAACTAGAAAATGAAATCTATCAACTAAGCAGTAATAAGGAGAGTCAAACAAAGAAAACATCTGGCAAGGCTTCTAAAAAGACTAACTTGCTGGGTAGAAAGGAAGAAAAGTCGGGCTTTCACAAACATCAGCCATCTAAACTTTCTCTGAACCATGAAGGACAGCAGCCTCTCACAAAAACTATTAATGGGGTAAATGTTTAGAAACCATAGAATGTATGGATTTTTGTATTAATTGTATTGGGTATTTCTGTGAAATACAGATTATCAACCTGGTGATATTTTTAGAGCTATTTTAAAAAAAGCAGACATTCCCCTGGAGAGCTATACCCTCCTTCTGGGTATCCACTCAGCACACACAAGGCTCACGTGAACTGCTGTCCTCTCTCAAGGCATTTCCGCCAGGCACACATGGCAGGGGCTCCAGGGACTCCAGGCACCAGCACTGTCTGAGCCCTTTGAGGTAACAGGGAGGTCCCTCAGGCACATGACCCCCACAGAGTGTCTAGGCTCATGAGCCCCAGGGCCTCAAAGGAAGCTGGGTTTGGACTCCCAGTCAGGCTCAGAAACTTCACTCTAGTGGGGGAGCAGCAGTGGCAGGACTCCCCAGGAGCTGTTCAGCAACAAAGCGGACTTCTCCTCAGTGTGAAGGGGGGTACAGTGAGCTCCCAGGGAGGGGTGCAGGCAGGGAGCAGGCTCAGGCTAAGTGCAGGGGCCAGAGTACTGCAGATGCCCAAGAGCAGCAGTCCTGCCTCAGTGTGAAGGAAGCCAAGCACACAGAAGGGGAGAAAAGGAAGCAACTGTGCCAGCAGAAGGCAACAGGTGCGCTTGAGGTAAACGGTGGCCTCAGACCCATGAGGCATGTGGATGATGTCAGAGACGCGCTCACCGTGAGTTCGTGAAGAGGCCCAGCCGAGTGCATGGTCCTAATGAGCTTGTTCATTTCTCAAGTAGTCCTCCCAGGTACAGAGGCAGAGGTCTGTGAGGAGCACTGAATTCCTCTCCTGCATCCAAGCCAGGATCCATGCTAACAGCACAGGAAGGCCAGGATCCTTTGCCCCACACCAGCAGGACCCACAAAGGGCTGTCCTACCCAACCCCTTCTGATGGCACCTCAACAAAGCACAGAGATGCAGGGAGGGACACTGGAAAGATCCAGGGAGTGGGGAGAGGTCCCAAAACTTGGGCAAGCTTCACCCCCACATGCTGTTTGTATTGCGCTTGGCCCAACCACAGCCAGTGATGTGAGTCCTCACAGGAGGAGCTGGCCCTGCCCTGCCCTGGATCTGCGCCCTTAGAGCTTTTACATGTACTGTTCCTCATCCCTGTCATTCAGGAGTAGAGACCACTTGTCCCCACCATCATCCACAGTGGCACTATGCCGAGACAGCCTGTCGGATGTCAGGGAGGACAGAGACACCTGGCTGACGTAGCTGACCTGGTCCCACGGCGTGACCCTGGGGGAGTCCCACCGCCGGTCATCCATGCCCACATGCACGCTGATCTGGGATGCACTCAGGGGCTTCATGCGGCCATGGGCCTGTGCCTCGTACCTCTCCAGGTCGGGCTTCCTGTAGCTGGAAAGCAAGAACCCAAGAGCATATGAGCCACTCTGGACCTCAGGCTCTCCTTTTCTTTTTGAAGCCTGGTAAAGGCCTCTCAAGCAAGTCTTTCCATCACATGCAGTATCAAAACCCAATAGGTGTGAAACGAAAAGGACACTGAACTCACATGTTCAAATAAAGTCTACATGATTTAGAAATTTCCTAGACAAATACCTTGAACATAGGCTGCGATTTAACTTTTTTTTTTGTACCCGAGTTCGAACTAGGACTTTGCACTTGTGAGGCAGGTGCAATGCCACTGAGCTAAATCCCCAGCCTGGCTGTGATTAACTTTTGTTGAGCAAATGCATGAATAAATAAATGAACATCTTTTTTAAAAAGGCAAAATAACAACATATAGGGACCCCATGTCTACATGATATTTGCATAAATAGCCACTAGCACAAGAGTGAGAACAGCCCAGTACATGGCAGCTGGTAAGGGCCTCCTATGTACTGCTGACAAGTCACAGTACAAACCACTCGGACTGCCCTGCAGTATGGCCTCGGATGAATGGGGACAAGGGGTATGTACCTAGTCTCACCCAGGAAGCAACCACAGAGGATAAAGGGCTTTGGGAGACTCTCAGGCAAGTGCTCCTGGCCCAGGACTCACCACTTGAGCTGCAGAGAAGAGAGCACCACAGACACGGAGGAGGCTGCCATGGCCGCTGAGCCCATCCACGGCTGCAGCACGATACCAATGGGCATGAAGACACCTGCCAAGGGGAGGGCATGCACTCACCTGCCACCCAGAGGACAGCAGGGACCCCATCTGCAGCCACCCTGAGGAGTTCCATCCTCAGGCACCCAGAGGACCTGTGCCTGGCTCTGAGGTAAGGCCATCAAGCAAGCTGGCAATGGGCCCTTGTTGAGAGGAATTGGCCCTCTTCCACCTAACTGGCCAAATGTGCACAGGCGGCACTGCCTGACTCAGGGAGCAGGAGCCACAGAGACAGGGAGGAGCAAGCACAGAGGGAGAAGGGAAAGCAGCGGAGGTGCAGGAACCAACTGTCCTGGAGACTCAGGCCCATGGGGATAAAAGCTGCTGATGGCCACAGGCCTCGTCATCTGCCCTCCACAGCTTCCTAACCATGTAAGAGAGAAATGAGAGCCAGGCTCCAGGCAGACAGGAACCTCAGGCCAGTCAAGGGACAGTTACTATCTGTGGCAGAGGCACAGCCACAGGAAGGAATTAAGCTCTTGAGCTGGCTCTGGGGCAAAAGGAGCACCTGCTTGACTCCCAGGATCTGGAGGCTAAGGCAGGCTTGACAATCTCAGTTACGGGAGTCGCCACTAACTGTTTGGACACAATAGGGATACTGAGATAGAAAGGTCATATTTAAGAACTTCAGGTTCCCTCGGCCCATGCAAAAGTGCTGCCTTGCACAAGCGTCTGGAACATCTCCCTGCTTGGTTCGCAGGATTCAAGGGCAGAAGGAGAGAGAGGAGTTACAAAGCAGAAAAACCATTTCTCTCCACAGTCATTTGTGAGAGTCAGAGTAAAACCTGGACATTAGTCATTTTCAAGGTTCTGAGACACCCATCATTGTGTCCAGGATACAGCAGGTTCCCCATAACTCTCCCTAACAGTTATTCTTCAAACTGTATGTCTTAATAAGTGGTTCAGAAAAGAGGGCCACAGTAAATAAGTGGGCATGCACCTTCACCAGCTTCTGAGAAAGGACCAGAGTGAATGAAGCTCTGGGGTTTTCTCAGCAGCTTCGCATTTACCTTCAGCGACATATAAAGCAGGAACAAAAACCAATGCTTTGACACTCACTGTGCCTAGCCAGCCAGCTAAGGAGGTGTACAACTCACCAAGCTCAGCAAGGACCTGGCAGAGAGAGACCTATCTGGCTGCCAGAGAGGCCAAAGGTGACACAGCAGGTGAGAGGCCCCCAGCCTACCTGCAGCGATGGGTATCCCCACCATGTTGTAAATCAGTGCCAGGACCAGGTTGACTCGGATCCTGCGGACAGTCCTTTTGGAGAGGTGAATGCTGGCGACCACGTCCAGTAAGTCATTCTATAGGACAGGAGCATGATGCATAAGGAACCTGGCCCACTGCCCTCAGCCCCCACTGTCGCCTGGATGCAGCCAAACTCACTCTGATGAGAACCACATCTGCCGCCTCGATGGCAACGTCTGTGCCAGTGCCGATGGCAATGCCCACATCGGCCTGGGCCAAGGCTGGGGAGTCATTTACACCATCTCCCACCATAGCGACTTTCTTCCCTTCATTCTGCAGCTCCTGGACCTTGGCCACTTTGTGAGAAGGCAGCACCTCTGCAAAGACTTTGTTGATACCAACCTAAAGGGAGAAGAAATCCTGTTTTTTATTGTCAAAAGACACCAAACAGCAGCAGAAACCAAGAGTCATTCTTGTCCCTCTCCCTCTGCCCCCAATCATCTCAATCAACCAAGTCCCACAGACTCAAGGTCACAGGGCAAGTGGGCTGCATGCTCCTACCCTGTGCTCTCCCTGGTGTAGGCAACCTGTTGGCCTGCCTGTCCCCACTTGGCTGCCCAACTCTTTTCCACATTGTTATCTCAGCCATCCATCCAGAACAGCAACGTTTAGTTGTGATACTGTCCTGCTTCAGTTCTCCAGGGGATCCTGAGGACGATATCTAAACTCTCAGGGGTCTACCTTCCATGGTTCTCCTTGGTCTTGCCCCTACCTCTTGGCCAGCAGCTGGTGCCACACTCAAGACTATCCCATTCAGCAGCAATGGGATCTACTGGTTCCTGCACCACTTTGCATCCCTCAGGGGTGCTCAGGCTGGATGCTCTCTCTGGAAAAGGTTCAGTTTCCTCATACTTCCTCCCATTTCTTTATTTGACTGACTCCTGACTTAGCATCCCCTCCCCTGGGAAGTTGTCCCCTGCCCTGCCAGGGTAAGGGAAGGATGCTCCTTGGCATTCCTAGGGTCCTCTGTGCACTTCTGCTGGATCCCTGAGCATTCAAGGCTATACTGGGCCATGGGTCCACCCTTTCTGCAGGATCATAAGCCCTTCAAAACCAGGGCCCCTAATTATTCCTCTCTGTAGCTGCAGAGCCTGGCATTATGCCTGTCCATCCTTCATGGTACTTGCTAAGTGCATGTTGAATGCATGAACAAGTTTTAACTGGGAAAAGGAGCAGATGTTCAGCAAGTCCATCAGCAAGAAGGAAGGCCATGCACAACAGAGGTACTGCTGCTTCCCCACAAGAAGCAATTACCTTTCATGGTCATGTAAGTTTGCATATATTTGGGTGAGTAGGGTGGGGCAGCAGTACTATTTCCAGAAATCCACACCAGAGCCATTGCTGTGCGGGGGTCAGCACTGTGCTGTCCTCATGAACCAATGGCTGCTGAAGAACTGCCCAGAATCCAGGCATTCATCTGGGCATACAAATGGGCTGAGACAGCAAAATACTCCCCGAATTAAAACGTTAGACTATTTTTATTTTAGTCCTCAAGCCATAGTTTTTTCGGGAAATAGTCAAAGAACACTGGAACTGCTTTTCTAAGGATGCATACCAGGGGAGAAGAGCAGAAGCAAAGCTGAGGACCAATGTACTGGTGCTTAATTTGTCTGTTTCTGTGAGCTTGACACAATTTGTAATTTTAAAGGAGAAAGATATCCCTGGTCCCCAGCCCTACCTGGGTGGCAATGGCTTTGGCTGTCTTTCGGTTGTCCCCTGTGATCAGAACCACATCCACACCCATGCTTTTCAGTGTGTGTACCGCCAGGGCAGCCTCAGGCTTGACAGCGTCTGCGATGGCGATCATCCCGCAAAGCACACCTGGAGCAAACCACACAGTCAGCAAAGGTGCAGGCCTGTGCGCAAAATGCGAGGATTTGCAACAGTTCCCATCATATGTTACACACAAAAACAGAACACCAAAGTATGTAATGTATTATGGTTTGGGTTCTAGAGGCATACAGAAGTCTGGAATGAAACTGAAAATTCATGATGGCTAGGTGAGGGGGAGAACTCTTAACTGATTTTACTGTATTCTTTACAACTCTAAATTTTCCAATTTTTTCTACCAGTTCCATACATTACTTTACAAAGTGCCTATCGCATCATAAGAACTCAACACATTTTACATGTTTGCTACTAAAATATGAGAATACAGCAAATGTTAAAATGATAGACATCCAAACTAGAAAATCAATACTGCCTTTTTCTTTCTTAAAAAAATTCTGTATAAATTTTGAGACAAGACTAAGTCACTAAATTGCCCAGGCTGAGCTCAAACATGTGATCCTCCTGCCTCAGCCTCCAGTGGAGTAAATCTTTACAGACCCGGAAAGATTCTGAGCAGAGTGAAGAGTGCATAGCAGGGCCTGCCTCCCTACTTCTGCTGATTCTGGCTTGAGCCGAGGAGACTGAGGGTTTGTTTGTGAGGATTAGAAGGGAAAAAGAGAGATTGAGAGAGGAAGACACCTGGCTGGAGTATTCAGAATGCGGTGCCATGTTATTCGTTCTTTGCAGAGTTTGACTTTTATTAGCAGAAACTTGCATGCAGAAAGTGAAGGCTCTGTCTGCTCTCTCTGGGGCAGACAGCCCAGGGTACAGCCTGGGTGTGAAGACACACGGAGTCACAAGGAGCTCTGTGTGCACCAATCTGTGTGAGTCAGGTGCTAGGGAGATGCAGGGACCTCATTATTTAAGGGCATTCTATAGTCAGACTTTTCAGGAGGAGGATTCCTGTGTTGCCTGTAGTGATGAGTGAGAAGAATCACTTTCAACTGCCAATCTGGGCAGGAGCAAAGATGACAATGAACACAGTTAGCATTCCAAGAACAAGTGGGCTGATAGGAGAGCCAGAGCTGGCTCCTGGCCAAGGCAGAGATGGTGAATAGGTAAAGACCTCAGGAGAAGGAAGGGAGGACAAGGAAGGGAGGGAGGGAAGAAAGGAGGAAGGATGAGGAGGCCTCTTTCGCCTGACATGCCCAGGAAAGGGCATTCTACGAGAGCAGGAGAAAGGTTCGGGCAGGGAGATACCATCAATAGCCACCAGGATGGCCGTCTGTCCTTTCATCTCATGATCAATCATAGCATCACTGACGTCGCTGGAGATGGTTAAGCCATTGCGCCTCATCCACTCACGGTTTCCAATCAGCACAGAGAAGGTCTGGGGCACTGTATCTATTCAAAGAAAGGAGTTACTCCTAATAGTCCAACTTCATGATGGACTAAGACCTGGGAATGGCTTTAACAGCATAACAGCCATTTAATCATTATGAGAAATTACAACCTGTAGGAGCCTCTTATAACAACATCCTTAGAGGACCAGGGAAAGAGTACAACTCATGTGTAGACTATATGGATATGAATTAAAAGAGTGTTAGTAGTACATGTTACATGTGTAAAAATGCTATAGACATATTAATCATTATATAATATCCTTATTATTATTATTGCCTTTAAAGTGTCTGTTGACTTGTCTTCTACAGGAGTCTGAGGCAGTTAGGTTTCTGCCCAGAGCACTTGTGACTAGACTCACTGATAACCCAAGGTGAATCAACAAATAACAAGGTCAGTCTGTTTCTAAGACTTGTTTTAAAATTATGCCTCCAAAAAGCCAAGTGGGTCTTCCATGTCACCTTCTAATGGCGTGTGTCCCGAAGCGCCACTGTACCCACCAGTCTCTGAATCCTCTGATGGTTACCCTGGGGTTTTAAATTGCTAGAAGACGGGAGTGGCTCCTAACAACATCACTTAAATCAAGATTTAGCTACCAGCATACTTAAGAAAAAACGCTAAACACAAGTTTTTGAGGTCCTGGGTGTTTTTCACCCACTTAAGTTTATAGCTGGCAAACTGTGCTTAAACTAAGAAAGACAGCTGCCACTCTGAGCAGCCACCCTTCTTGGCTCGAGCAGACCATTATCATCTGCTTCCCTGACTTTCTGTCAGCTCTGTAAATACTGCACACCCCATGAAAGTTCACCCATACAGGAAGGAAACAGGGAGAACAAAGGTAGGTTTTCAATTTGGGCTAAAAAAGAGGAAACTCAAAATTACATATCAGTGAAGTGATCTCTATAGAACTAAGTTAACATTACTTTGGCCTGCCAGAAACATCAAAATTTAGATGCATCAAAGCATGCCAGAGAGAAACTGTGGGTTTTCCTGAGGGAGGCAGATGTGGAATGCCCAGCCACAAGCCACGCACAGGTGGGCCAGGCCAGGCATAGAGCTCCCTGTGGCTTGGCCCACCACTGCAGATTGAGCTGCAGGGACAAAGATCAGGAATACCTTTTCCTGGAGGGCTGCCGATCCCCTTCAGGTGACCAGTCTGCCCACTCAGTGGGCGCTCACTCTGGGCCAAGATGCCGTCCACATTGCTGACTTTGCAGCCAATTCCACAGCCTGGCACCGCCTGGAAGTCCGTGCAGTATCCCAAAGTCTCTGTTCCAAGTTCCTTGGAAGTCAGGGGAGAAGGAGAGGGATGAGAACCCAGAGAGGGGCAGGACAGAGGCCAGGCTGGGCAGTGAGAGGAAGGAGGGAAGTGGAATTGAAGGGAAAGCTTAGGAAATCGACTGCTAACTCAGCAACAGTTACTAAACTGAACAACATTAGGCAGCCTAATCCACCCCTAGGCAGATGCCTCAATTCATACTAGACATTTTTAAAAAAGCTATTTCTACATTGCAAGTAATTTCATAAAAGTGATGGAATAATGTGGCAGGTGACAAAGCTATTTCGAGGTGATCGAGATAGCTCTGCATGTGTCAGACCCTAGAGAGAGGTTCACAAGGAGCCAGGGAACAAGGTGAAGTCCACTTGGGGGTACATGACCTTGCTCCTGACCTGCCAGAAAGACGTGAGATTACAGAGTGCTATGCCCATATAAAGGACAAAACAAGAAACAAGGTTTCTGAAGATTTCTCATCCAAGAAGAGGTGCCATGTCACCTGTCTACATTTAACATAACAGGATTTGTGCAGGCAGTTTACAATCTGTCAGCATAGCACCCCAACACAGTCTGCTCAACAGAAAACGAAAGAGGTCCTTTTGTGTGGGGAGGAGGGTGAGGCTCCCCGGGGCCTTGGGCTCACTGTGCTGGCTCAGCCCCAGGTCCTCCACTCTCATTTCATGTCTGTGTCCCTGGCACTAAGCCTCACAAAGGCCTGTATATCTAGACCACCTTTCTTCCTCCAGCTTCAGATCAAAGCTCTCCAAGGGCACAGGTCACATTTCACTGGTTTTGTCTTGAGTCCGGTGCCAAATACATGCACAGCAAGTGGCCATGACACTGCACTGCCTTTGTGGTAGCCAGAACTGTGACAAGGCCCACCACAGGCAAAGGCCTCCCTTGACAGCTGGGAGGGAGGCATGTGAGGAGAAGGGAGGATCAGGCCAGGGAGGGGTTGCAGAGCAATGCTGAGGGCTACGTACCTCTTTACAGTATTTGGTGACTGCCAAGCCCAAGGGGTGCTCACTGCTGGCCTCTGCAGTGCCCACCACAGCCAGAACCTTCCTGAGGGGCAGTGTAGCCACATCTACAAGCAGCAGGACTCGCATGACCCTGGGGACCCCATGGGTAATGGTGCCAGTTTTGTCAAACATCACGGTCTTTATCTGCCAAAACAACCACATCTCAGTGATACAACCCAGACAGGAGGGGTTTCCAGAGTCCACATCATCTTGAGGCAGAGCTTCACCTACCTGGCTCATGTAGGTAAAAATACCACATCATGATTTCCTAACCTGACACTCTATAGGCAACCTGGGGATTCACCTGCTATTACAAAGAAATTTGTCTCCAGGTGTCCATCAAAACATCTACCTGTGGCTTACCCAAGCAGGTCCAGCCAGAAACTTTCTTGGCTGTCTCCAGGACATGACACAGTTCACAGACTTTTTCTCGGTTCAGGTCAGGATTCAGGCCTAGAGATCTTCTTGTCTCTTATCCCCCACCCGCTGCTGTCCCTTGTCCATCAAGCCATAACTGTTTTCTTCTCCTTGCCTAAGTGCAAAAGCCTGCCTAGAATAAAGTCCTCAGAATCTGAGTTCTAGAAAGGAAGGGACTCATAATAACAAGTAACCACGGCTGGCTGTAAACTCACCTCATGGGGTCAATGGCAGCTTTGCCCTGGTCCTCAAGTGTCCAGGCTCAGATATTCACTAGCAATCACTCTCAGGCACCTGCATATCTGAGGTTCACCTATTTCTGTAAGTCTAGCACCTGGACTGCTCACCTCACCAAACCTCACTGCTCTGTTCGGACCGTGTCCCACAAGCACGGTTGTCTTCCCTGATTAGGAAGCAACTCTTGCTGCTCTGGACTCCTATGATGCACAGTAGTCTTCCTTCGACACCATCAACTGATCTCTAAAGACCCCTGCCTCCTTCAGTCCATCCTTCACTTTGCAGCCAGATGGGCCTTCCTAGCATGTGACCCAGTCACCCAGAGTACATCCTCCCTTACCTGCTGCCTCCATTCTTAGGGTGAGGTTCGGAATCCTTTACCTAATCCAGGCCTCTGTAGCCTGGCTGCTGCCTCAACAGCCTCATCCACATACACACAATTCATATTCTCTCTCTGATTTTTTTAAACAGTTTCCTATTATTTACTTATTCAGCAAATAACCTCCAAGTAATTTCAATGTGCCAGGTCCTGGCCTAAATGCTGGGGACACAGTGCTGAGGGAAAGTTCAGTCCCTGATCTTACAGAGCTTATGACACAACAGTACTGCCCCTCCAGGTGCTTTCTACCTGCTGTGCCCACCGCTGGAGCTGTCTCCCCACCCTCTGTCATCAGCTAATTCTAGTTGAACTGGCAGGTCTCAGATTCACCTTTCTTGTCCACCTGCACACAGCCCTCACTGCCAAGTAAGATAGGCCCTACTACAGCATCCTCACAGCATCTCACCTTCTCGTCACACTTGGCCATTCAATACCTGTCTGTCTCACTACACTGTCAGCTCCTCGGAAGCTGGGTACTGTGACCATCGCCAGAACTGAGCACATGCCCACTCGCAGTAAGCAATGAATAAAATGGGAGTGCGAAGGGTCAGTGCCTGGTGTGTTAAGCAGAAGGAAACTCTTCATGCACACTGTTGCTCAGCATTCTACCCCTAAGGTCACAGGACCCTGCCACTAAGCCTACATATGTGAGCTGGCTTTGTCTCCTGGAGCCTGACTACCTGAGGGTGACCCTGTCTCTGCCTTTTGACAGGTGCAGGCCTTGGAATGGCCTCCCTAACATCCTCTGCTACAGCTTCTTCTCCTATAAATTGAGAATAATAAGCACCCACAGCAAACAAGGCAAATAGTCATTACTGAGATGGAACCAGTGAATATTCACAGAGCTCTTAATCATCTGTTCACTGCTGCTACTTTTGCCATTCTTGTTTCCTGTCAGCCTTGGCTTCCTAGTCCATGTTACTAATGTTTCTTCCTTCAGGTTGCTCTTGGGCTTTTCTCTTAATTAAAAAGGGTAAACAGATACATTTTCATGAGGACTCTAAAGGAAAATGTCAGCCAAGCTCCCAAAGGGGTAAGGGAGAGGATGGTGAGGGTCTACCTTGTGCATCATCTCCATAGCCACCCACCTTGTGTGCCATCTCCAGAGGCTTGCCTCCCTTGATGAGGATGCCATGCTGGGCGGCCACCCCAGTACCCACCATGACCGCTGTGGGTGTGGCCAGCCCTAGGGAGCAGGGGCAGGCAATGCACAACACAGTGATAGATGTCTGGAAGGCGAAACGGATGATCAACTCTGTCTGTGAGACGTGCTTGCTGGGGTTCTGAAGAAGGAAGACAGGCAGGTTGAGAGCACAGTGAAGAGTATCATAGAATCCTCATCATTCAAGGATGTCTGAGTCGGGGTGGTGGGGCCTGAGACAGCATAATGATCTGGGTTTAAGAAACACAGCTATATTCTGGCTGCCTAGGTATCAGGGGGTTCGCTTCATGGCACCACACCTCCAATTTCCCAACTTAATCCTACAGGTTTCCCTCCAACAGGTAGGACAGGAGCAAAGTCATAAAAATCTCTGATAGGGGCCAGAGCAAAGATCTGAAAGTCACACCACATAGTTCATATCCTGGCTCTGATACTAACCTCATCTCTCTGTGCCTCAGTTTCCCCATATACAAAGTGAAGTTGATAATACTCAGCTAGCTCATACATTGTTTTACAGGTTGAATGAGGCAAAATACATATAAACACAAACATATACACACTACAACACTTGGCATAGGAGAGGTATATAAGAAATGACAACAATTACATTATGACTATTTCATTATCATTATTATGTAAAATTTTTAAAAAATGATGCACTCCAAACAATCTATCCTAGGATGATAATCACATAATTGGAAAAGATACAGGGATATCTATCACCATGCTTTGTTTTGTTTCTGTAATGGTAAAAACCCAGAAACAGTAGGGTATTAGTTAATTAGGAAGTGCAGAGTGGAGTATTAGGCAGCTGCTGGGATGATGCATATCTACATTTCTTGATATGGAAAGATACAGTACATGGTTTCGCTGCCTGCTGCACAAGCGCAAGGACCCAAGTTCAATCCCCAGTACCAAAAAAAAAGATACAGTACAGCAGAATTTAAAATGCAATTCTGAAAAGACAAATGTTGTGATTTCACTTGTGCAAAAATCCCCTGCCTCTACCTGCACACAGACTTTCAAGAATACAGAAAGATGTTTACCAAAGGTCAAAAACCATTACTTCTAGGGAAGGGCCTTGTGCCATCTTTATTTTATTTTCTATATTTTTCATGGCTCTTTTCTTTGTTAACCACCCCCCGCCAAAATATGGATCTATTTTGCAGATGTGGTGGCACAAGTTGGTATCACTATTTGTACTCTGAGATCTTGAATTAGTTTGGTTTATTTTTCAAAATGGCTGATGGCTATGGGGTCTAACCAAGAAATATTATGCCCATGTAATTACAGTAAAAAGCACATTTTCTAAATTGAGGTCACTGACCACAACCTCTTTACCCTCATCTACAATTTATTCTTTGATTTTTGAAAATCAGGATTCTAAAATAAGGCATATTCTTTTTTTAAAAATAAGGTGTATTCTAATTTTCACAGAAACAGTTGTATTTAGGTAGACATGATTTTTTGAGAAAAAGATGTTGTAATTTTTTAAAAAAACTGAGTAATTCTTGTTATTATCACCTGGCATTCTGGTACTATTGGGTGGAATTCTGGAAGTTAATGTGAACCTTTCCTACACCTGAGTTTGTGCAGCAGCGTGATGACAATATCTTAAAGGAACATGCAGTACCTCATTTGCCAGCATCCTCCCTGATTTTGCAGATAAAAACAAAAGAAACCAAAGTAAGATGGAAAGCACGGAACAGCAGAAAGTCACATATTCTGACTTGTTTAGAACTAAGTATTCTCACAGCCCCAAACCAATGAGCTCTTCTCTCTCAAAAGGAAATTTTAAGCAGTTAGGTGCCATGAATAGCTGCTGGCAAATTCTAGAATATATTCACAGCTTACTCTTAAAAATACTTAGGACTCCTTAGATGTCAGAAAGTGCTTAACTTGGCTGTTTTCCATTTGAGATAGAAAAGTTAAGGGAGAAAATGACATCTTAGTAATTGACTTGCACCCTAAGAATATTTGATGTACCTTTAATTATACATAGAAATTTTTTAAAAAGAAAAAAATCCATCCTATGTTTGTAGTTTCTTATTCTATGGCTCTAAGATAAGCACTATACTGGGATAGATATGAGGGAGGTAAAACACTGTTCCAAAACCGCTCTCTGTGGGCCATGAGCTTTTTAGATATATCAAGATTTTTAAATTCTGGCACTAAGGCCATCATCATCGTGGGGCCTGTCCTGTGCCTTATAGAACTTAGTAGCAGGCCCGGGGATTTAGCTCAGTGGTTCTGCCACCTGCCTCAAAAGTGCAAGGTCCCGAGTTCAATTTCTGGTACCAAAAGAAAAAAAATGCTCACTTATTTACGTCCAGGGATTTAGCTCAGTGGTTCCACTGCCTGCCTCGCAAGCGCAAGCCCGAGTTCAATCCCTAGTACCAAAAAAAAAAAAAAACAAAACAAAACAAAACAGATCTTAGCTGCATTCTGGCTTCTCCATACTACACACAAGTTGCATCCACCCTATTTGTGAAAACCAAAACTGTGTTCCATTTATTGGTTTAAAAAACCAATAAGTTTTTTGAGGGATGGACTGCCTATCTATATTGTTTTCTAAGTTTGATAAAATGATATTTCTGGCTGGAGATTTAGCTCAGTGGTTTCACCGCCTGCTGTGCAAGTGCAAGGACCCGAGTTCCATCCCCGGTACCAAAAAAAAAAAGACATTTCCCAGGATAGTGTTCTTCATGTACCTACAATGTTAAATAAGTATTTAATTATTAAATGTTCTGCCTATATTGGCATATAGTCTTTCCCCTTTCAAAAACACTGGAAAATATTATGATTTGGGAAAGTAGGAGGCTGAAGATGGTAACAGTGGATATAGATAGCAAAAAAAATTTTTTTCTTAAAATCTGTTAAATAATGTTATCATGCCATCAAAATTATGAAGTGGGATATCATCTATGACATAGACCTCATAATTTCAGAAATTGCCAGTACTGCATATTATAAATGCTTTAAGCATTATAACAGCCAACTGATGTCCATGGAAATTATTTCAGTAGAAGCAAAAGGCATCTTTATACAAACCTGTAGGAGCAGAGTGACTGATTGATTGTCCTAACCTGATTTAGATTTTGCTGTCAATAAATGAAGGAAACAAAACATAACGGATAAAGAACAGTGAATCTAAGAAAAGAGAGAAGAGGATTCACGGCAGTAAATTAAAACACAACAACCATACTGCTCAAAGCATTCAACTTACAGGAAAGTATTTTTGAACAACATCAAAATCGATAAAACCGATTACAATCCAAACCACCAACGTCAAAGTTGAAATAATGATGATAAATGGAACAAAATATCCACTAAACTGGTCGGCCAGTTGCTGAATGGGTGCCTACGAAAATAAAACATCAAAATCATGGGAAATTATAAACTGTGAAGCCACAAAACACCAGAAACATGAATAAGGATTGGGACTCTAGTTTCCTCATTAACTACACTTACTAATCTATCTTTACTCAATAATTGACTGTTTTTCCTATGGAGCTCTTGAAATAATTTCTGAAATGAGGGAGCTGAAGTCACACCATGTTTTAAGTTTTTTCATTACCTTTGACATCTGAGCCTCTTCCACCAATTTCACAATTTGAGCCAAAGTAGTGTCGTTGCCCACATGGGTGGCTTTAATGAGCACAGAGCCATGAGCGTTTATAGACCCGGCGATCACAATGCTCCCAGGTTTCTTAGTGACAGGCATGGCTTCTCCTAGAGGTAGCGAAGAGACAACTGTCACTTGTTCAGCCCCATTCCACATCACATGGTACCTGGCAGAGGGAGAACATGAAACAAGCCACCTGACCTGTGATGAGGGACTCATCAGCCATGGTGTTGCCTTCCAGGACTTTCCCATCCACTGGGAACTTCCCCCCGGGTACGACCTTGATGACATCACCCCTCTGCACCAGCTCCATGGGCACTTGCTCCTCTCTGTAATAGATGCCACTTACATCACACCCAGCTCTTTGTAGCAACGCCCCTCCCCCCAGGTCTGTTACCAGGTCAGGTTCTGGACCAACCATTGGACTAGTCGCATATACAGCCAGCCCTCTGGTACCTGTGAGAGCTGAATCCACAGCTTCAACCAAACATTTAGGGAACATGAATTTTCATCTGTACTGAACATGTACACACTTTTTTCTTGTCATTCTGGCCTAAGCAATATAAGACTCTTCATATTGCATTTACATTGTATTAGGTATTGTAAGTTATGCAGAAGTGATTCAAAGTATAAAGGAGGAAGCAAGTTATATGCAAATACTATGCCATTTTATATGAGGGATTTAAGCACTGGGAATTTTGGTTACCTGTGGGATCCCCATGGCCACCAGGGGACAACTGTACTTGCTTTACACTGAGCAACAGATGGGGGTTGCACATGAGAGGCACATGGGGCAGTCTCACTGTCCTGTTGGAGAGCAGGGAATTTACCCTAAGGCAACAGGGAATCACTCAAAGACTTTCCACTAGTGTAATACAATCAGATTTGTGCTTCAGAAAGGTCATTGGTTTTAATGTGGAAAAATATTTTGAAGGAGGTAAGGCTGGAAACAGGTGGCCAATGCAGGAACTGTATCAACCACCCCTGGCCTGAACAAGCCAGCAGCCCTGACCATACATGAGGCAGTGAAGGGAGCAGAAGATGGACGAGCAAGAACTGAGAGGTCAGAGGCCAATGTGCAAACGGAGGAAGGAAAGGAGTCACAGAGGAAGCCCAGGCTTGGCCCCAGGAGTTGTGCAGGGAAGAGGAACATGATTCATCTGAAGGGGAACATGAACATGGCAGTGGCAGGAGGATAAGCCACTGAGAGAAAACTCCACCAGGCAGGTAGGTACTGGTGTCTAGAGATAGAACTGAAAATGAGTCCCACAAGGCTTGTGTCAGAAGACACAAGGGAGGAGACATATCCTGGTGACCATCTATAACATAGTTAAGGGGCTAAGGAGAATGAAGAAGACCCATAATGGAGGCTAAGCAGCAGCAGAGTAAAGACATTATCATATGCCAAAAGGCCATGCATGTAAAATGTCCCACCACCTAAACTTGGGATAAAGAAAAAAGGACAGGCATCCCCAGCAGAGGGACACAAGAAGGAGAGGCTACACCCTCACCAAAGAGTCCAGTTGATACAAGAAACTCCAGTGGTCGTCAAGAGGTACCAAGGACCTGTCCACACAAGCAGAGGTCAGAGGTAGGAGGGCCCTGCAGGAGGCAGAGGGGATTGGGGGCCCTGCTACCTGGCACATCTCATGTTATTGCATGGTCAGCTCCTCCAAGGGACTGTTGCATTACAGGTGGCAGAGGAAGTGACCATGACCCTGGGAGAGTGGGGTGTGTCCAGGGCCTGGAGCATTGTGGTCAGAAGAGTGTGTAGGAAGGACTTCTGAGTGTGCAAAGCAGCGTAAATGGACCCGATCTGAGCACACAGCCCATCTTAGCTAAAGTCAGAATGAACTCTGGCTCCCTGATTAAAATATGATACCACCCTGTTGTGACAGGAGTAGTCAGGTCCACAGTGTGTTCACAGGCAAAAAAATGAATCACCTTCTTTAGAAAAGAACTGATTTATGGCAGGTGTAGCCCACTTCCCTTGGCAACTCATCTGACTAGTACCGATCTGCTCATGTTCAGGTCACTAAGCAGCCACTGGGTGCCACCGGTAGTTCTTCAAACTGTTAGCAGAGGCAGGCAGTGGGGTGGATGGAGGCAAGGTACATCAAAAGAGATGCATGTACAGCAGCTTTGTGCACCCTCTGATGCTTTCACTTTTCAGAAATTTTCACACCATCAATTTATAAGAGGAAAAAAAAGGAATTTAAGTTCCTGAGACTGCAGAGCCACCAAAGCTGCTGCTGTGTGTGTCTGTGTGTGTACACCCAGAAGCACCAAGTGGTCGTCACACAGGATGCCTGAGTGGGAGACAGTATGGCATGGTGGCAAGAGAGTGGCTCTGTGCCTCCAAAGGCCAGATCCCAGTTCTGTCACCTTCCATAGACTTTGGACAAGTAACTTCACATCACTGAGCTTTAGAGTTTTGCTAATGAAAATGCGGACAGTGACAGTGACCCTCACAGGAAGGTCATCACAGTTGCATTAGATTAATCTGTGTACAGTGCTGGGTGAAGTCAGGAACCAAATCCCAGCTATCATGACTATAGTTACAATGATTACTTAAAAGCAGGGTCCAAGGCAAAACCCATGCTCCTGGGCTACAGTCAGCTGGTGCCTCACCAACTTCTCCGTCATAGATTTCTTCACCCCAAGGCTCATGAGAACCTGAACTGCACCAGCTCATCAGGACCCATATCATGGGGCAGCAGCAGTGAGAGCGCCAGTACAGCTATGGACACTGGCATTGACAGCAGTGGGTAAGGGGTATGAAGCCATGTCTGTTTTCACAGGGGAGACTCTGGAGTCTGATGGTCAACAAAGATGGCAACACTGGAGACTAGGGAGAAAATGGCAGAGGGAGATCCCCCTCCTTCCCCAGGGGGTGGGGTGCCCCAGAAGGCTCACTGCACAAGATGAAGGGAGGGAGCTGACTCCACGCAACACTTCCTGTTTTCTGCAGTCAGAAGTGAAATCACAGGCTAGAAAGAGTATATGGGGATAGGAGAGACTTAAGGAATGTGTAGGCAGCTTGAAACAACCATCGCTCATGTCATGATTTAGATATAAAATGCTCCCCAAAGCCTAGTGTGCTTGGAGGGCAACTGGATTATGGGGTGGTATGGCTGGCTTGCTGCTGACGGGGGAGGTCTGGCTGGAGGACACTGGTCACTAGGGGTTTGGCCTGGAAGGGTTTATCTCCCTCCTCAGATTCTCCTTTCTCTGTGTTTCCTGGATGCCCTTTTGCCTTGGAGCTGCCCAACCATGCAAGGCCTAAAACTTCTACCAACTACAAGCCAAAATAAACCTTCCTCCTTTAAGTTGTTGGTGTTGGGTATTTTGTGCCAGTGATGGGTAAAGTGACTAAGACAGCCCAGAATATTAAAGAAGGCTAATCAAGGAAACAGAGAAGCCTCAATTTGTAAAACTTTCCATATTATTAAAAATGCTTTAAGAGTCAGTATGTGAAAGGGTTAAGATCATAGGCTCTGGAACCAACAGCCAGAGTAATATTGTAACTCTTCTACTTAATTCCTGGGACCCTGGGTCAGTTGCTCAGCCCAGCTGAACCTCAGTTTCATCATCTGTAAAATAAGAGTAATAACAGTCTTCATCATAAAGGTTTTTTTCCCTGAGTAAGGGGAGTTATGAGATTAATGCACAGGTTAAATACAATAAGGTTGGAATAGCGTTATCTCCAAGCAATAATGATAATTATGTTTAATATCAGACAGCCTTATGAGGAAGATACTATTACTTCTATTTTATTCTTTGCCAAGTCGAAACCCTAATCTCTCTGCCTATCTGACTCCTCAGATCTTGCAAGTAAGGCTCAGTCATATTCCATGTTCTCTGTGAAGTCATCCTTGACTGCCATTAGCCTTCCTCTTCTAACTCCTGGACTCCTAATCATCTACACTGCTCATTCTCCATCTGGTATACTGCTTGTTCCTTAATTTAAAAGCCTTGTTTGTGCAATGGCTTGAGAGTGTCCCTGCCTATTCTGCGAGGTCTAGTGAAACATAACTACAGGGCTTCACCCACCCATAGGGCGGGTGTTTGGTGCTTACTGCCCAGGTGATATGAATTGATCTTGAGCTCTACTGATGAACATAACCTACCTGAGGATTAAATTGTCCTCACCAAGGGTCACAACTGTGGCTTCTGTGGCTTGGAGAGACATGAGTTTGGCAAGAGCTTCCGAAGTTTTGCTCTAGGGAATAACCAGAGTGTAAAACGAGAGCTATGTTAACCTGACTATCCCAACCCAGACTGAAAAGAGGCTGCTCCTCAACACGGTCATACCATGTGACAAAGGCTCTGTGGGGACCAGTGTTACTCAGGCAGCCACACATCACCACTATACCTGGTACACAACTGCTGGGCCACTAACGTAGTTTTAGGAACTCCATTTCAGACTGAAAACACTCTGCCAGATGATGGTTCCCTTTTAGGTCCAATCTGTTGTCTTTTATGGCCTGTGTCCCACTCTTTCATAGGACCCAATGCAAGGGAGGGGCTCAGTGCAGGGTGTTAAAAATGATACGACCCCAGTGGAAGTAATATCCTACACTAATATACTCTATACTCAGTTAGGCTCTAAGAGACCATGTGGGTTTTAATAATTAACCAGATTAGCGGGGATTTCAGAAATAGCAACCAATTTGGAGATTAGTGACCGTAGCACCTAATTATATGGAGGTTTCAGATTTCTTAAGTCTTTCACCATACTGTGTGTAATTAGTAATTCTCAACAGTGTTCAGATGAATTGAGGTCTGTTTTCCTGGAAGAACAGTTCTTTTCTTAACAGGAAGCTATAGTTACTTTTGCCACGTGTTCCAGCCACCTTCCCAGGGCAATAAACACGAAGAGCATTGGGGGGGTGTCAAAGAATGTCACAGGGCTCTTCTCGGCCTTCTCAGCAATCGCAACCACCAGGATGACCAGGGAGTAGACATAGGCAATGCTTGTGGCCAGAACGATGAGCACATCCATGTTGGCTGATCTGTGCCGCAGAGACTTGTAGGCCTGGATGTAGAAGTACCATCCGCCAAGGAACTGAAAGACAGGAGAGCAAAGTCTGCAAATGACCAGGGAAAAGGATTTAATGAGCCAGAGGCCCCCAGGACGGCAAATACTCTAGGTTTGTGCCTATACGTGACATTACCTTTTCTTCAGTGATAACTTTTTCTAATTCGGAGAGGACTACTGGCTCAGAAATTGGATGATAAAGTGCATGTGTAACCTTTAAAACCCAGAACACACAATGTGAGTGTCCATCAATAAGAGAATGGTAAAAAAATCATGGTTCATTTATACTGTGGACAGTGCCAATCTCTAAACAAAAGATGCTAAACAGGGCGTGGTGTCACACACCTGAAATCCCAGCACTCCGGATGTTGAGGCAGGAGGATTGCCTCGAGTTTGAGGGCAGCCTGGGCTACACAGTGAGCTCAAGGCAAGCCTGCACTACAAAACCAGACCCTGTCTCAAAAATAAATAAATAAAAATAAATAAACAAAAGATGCTGCATCAATAAACCACTGGCAAAAAGGAAGTCTGTGAAACATGGTTAAGTAAAAAGGCCAGTATACATTAGTGTATCTCACATGATCACATATCCACTAATAAACAGTCTGTATATATTATGTTAGCACGCACACTCACATACATACACTGCAAATGTGCTTTCCCCACACAGATGAGATCTGGAAAGATACTTGGCACAACTTTTAATGACACCGAAGCTATCCCTGGGGAGCACAGTTCAACCAGAGGCAGGTATGATAGTGAAAGATGATACTAATACTTCAATATGACTGGAATTGTTTATGAGTGTACAGTAATTTGCAAATAAAATATACGAAAAAATGTTATAAATGTTTACTCCCAAAAAGTCAAACATTACGTGCTAGTTAATCTTGACTGTTGACTTGACTGGATTCAGAGATTCTAGAGAGTTGACTGGATTGTGAGAACACTAACCTTATCAATGGGTTAACCCACTGAAGAGTTCAAAACTGAATGGGCTATTAGGAGGTGGGGCCTAGTTGGAAGAAGTAGATTATGGGGTCATGACCTTGAGGATGATATCTGATTCCTTCCTCTGGATCTCTTTCTCTGTTCTTCCCTTGGCTATCGTGGGGTGAGGAGCTTCCCTCTTTCATACCCCTCTGCCGTGTTTTTGCTTTAGATCCAGCAGACTATGGACTGAACCCTCTCAAATGATGAAGTAAAGTAAACCTCAATCCTTTAAGTTGTGTTACGTGTTTTGTCCCAGTGATGGGAAAGCTGACTAATACACACCCTAATAGTTACTCAAGAGTTTAGTTTTATGTTCCAAAATAAACACAGACAGTACATTTCCCACTGGAAACATGGCTGGATCCTTATCATCACCATCACAGCAGACATTCCACAAGGCCTATCTGCTGAATTACAATGTGCTTATTCATAAGGACCACATCTTTGGCTTTTCAAGACAAACCATTCAAGTGAAGCATGAGCTCTGGGGCATCCAGTTGCTGCTTCTAACAACAGGTAAATTAAGCTGAACAGTAAGCAAATTGGGGACACATGGGTTCACCAGTCTTGCAAGGAGGAAGCTGCTGCTCTAGGGAGTTTCGATCACGTGTAGTCAACTGTGAAACTGACAGTGAAACTAGATCCTTCTTAACCCCCATGGCAGAGGGTCTGGCCCTACAATGTTGGTCATAAGACAGAAATAAAAGCAGCGATGTGAGGAGCTGGGGCAGGAAATACCGCTGAAGCCATACTAAAGAGCTGAGAGTATCTGGGGGTCACCCGTGGGGACTGACAACAGGGGCTTCTCCAGCTTTCGAATACATACCTGGACGAATGTACACAGGATGAAGAAGGTAAGGTTCAGAACAGACAGTCCTGGGATGAGACTGTGGTCCAGGACCATCGCCTCGTGGGGGTCACTGCTGGGTATTAACATATAGATCATTAAGCCCATGACAGGGATGCCAAACACCAGGCTGCAGAGAAAAGACTTCTTCCACCTGAAAGCAAATGCAGTATACAGACATGTTAGAAGCTGTCACTTAGATCATGGGACAGTCCCCTCCTAAAGACTCGGTTTAAAACCTGACTTTCTCACATGTCTGGAACAGACTACCATGGGCTAAAACAAAAGTAAAACTCTCTCTCTAACACTGCCATCTTAAGGACAATCTAAAAATGTAAACATTGTGGCAACATAGCCATCTTCTTTAGTTGGCTGGTATGTGACCTTTGATCTATTATAGGTTTCGAAACTGAGGTCCAGTAGCTAAGAATCTACCCCAAAGAGGTTAACATTCCCAGTCTACAGCTGTCGATGGCTATTTCATCAAAATGCATTCTTTTTTTTTTCTGTATAACATTATTTATTGTCTGTAGTGGTAAATAATGACAAACCCTAGAACCCAAATATCCACTGACAGAGAAGAGAAACACAGATTTACACATTAGAGTACCACACAACAGTAACAATAAATGATACAGAGCGATAACTATCAACATGGATGAATTTCACGAAACTATGTTGAAAGAACAAATTGTAAAAGAATAGGATATGATTTTTATAAGCACTAACAACTGAAAGTCAATACTGCCAGTGTATCAGGCACTGTTTTAAGCACTTACAGAACAATGCCTCATGAAATCCCTACAATAAGTCCTATCAGGTTGATTCTATTTTTACATAAGGAAATGGGCACCAAATTAAGTAATTTGCCCAAATCACATGGTCACTAAATGGCAGAATCTCCTGGCATCAGAGTCAAAATGCATTCTTACAAAGACCCTCAAAGAAAAAAAAAAAGGCTTATGGCAGTATTTTATTAGTATAAGCTTACTTACACATTCAATTTTGTCAGGAAAAGGGGTTTACTGGGGACTGAACCCAGGTTCTTTGCACTGAGCTACAACTCCAGCCCCTTTTTATTTTTTTATTGAGACAGAGTCTTGTAAAGTCATTAAGTTGGGCTTCAATTTGTGGACCTTCTTCTGCAGCTTCCCAGAGTGCTTGGATTATAGGCCTGTACCATTGTGACCAGCCATTACACATTCAATTTTTAAACAATTATTTAAAATTCAGAGTCAGTAAGAAGAGTGAGGCTGTCTACAGTGTCTGCAATCAGGGGTCAATTGCAGCACATGTGAATCTCTAACCAAGTGGTTGTGGAACCTCCTCCCTCATTCCTCTCCTTTGCACTTCCTCCTCGTCTCTGACCATTAATGGTGGAATGCTCCGGCTTTCCATCCCTTCACTTTTGTCTTGGTATGGTATACCAGTATGCAGGAGCCTTTATTGTGTGCCCCAGCTGCTGCCCAAGGCCCTGGACACTCAGACTTCCTGGCTTTCCAGGTCCCTGGCCTGCCAGTCCCTCCTATGGCCTGGGGATCCCTCAAGGGGATCCCAGAAGATGTCCTCCCTACTACCAATGCATTGAGCCTAGCGTTCAAATCCTGGGTCCCCTGCTTGGAGGCTTCCTCAACCTTCCAGAACCCACCTACACCACTGCTGTCATGGCTCCTCACACTTTGCCTGTCAGCCCAGAGCCACACTAAGACAGGGATGATGGTGTCTGTTCATCCCCAGCAGTGTCACAATGCTCTGCACACAACAGTGGCCTCTAAATTTGTTGAAAACATAAAAGACTGTCTGAATCAATAAATGAACTCCAGTCTCCTGCTTCTCTGGCCATTAGCTTTGCACTTAGCCATGATGTCTGCCCTCAGATTCTAGCTCCAGAACCTATGCAAATAAAGTCTGAAAATACTGTTAAGAAAAAAAAAAGACCCTACCTTTTTCTCTCCCAATTTGAGCACTATCCAACTACAGCTGGCTGTTTAAACTATTGAAAATTAAGTGAAACTTAAAAATTCAGCTTCACAGTTACACTAGCTGCATTTCAAGTGCTTATGCACAAAAGTGCAGTGCAGACCTGGAATGCTACCATCATCAAAAAACTTCTACAGACAGTGCTGTTTCAGAGAGTTAATGTTCCAAGGATAAAGGCAACCAATCCAGATGGGAGCCCAGGGACTCCCACAAGCACAAAAGCATTCACACAACATGAGCCACAGAGTCGGTGGGGACAGGAAGACAAGACAGAGGTCTTCAGTTTGTTTTGGTGTTCTACCTACTGCTTTATTTCCATCTTGTGGTCCAAGTGATGAGCGTTGGGCCTTCTCTGGGCCAGGGAAGCATGGAAGCCAATCTCCTTGTTATCAAAAAGAGAGGGGTGAGGAACAAAGGGGAAGGTATTTGTTAAAACACACATTGGCAGAGAGCACTTTACAGCTCTGGAAATTAGACAGTGAATCTCAAAGTGCCTCTGGAGACTCTACTGAGTTCTCTCACACTAGCCGACAAACCCTGTTCAGAGGTTCAGTACTGTCTATGTGGAGAGATTACACCATCTGTGAAGAGACAGTGTCAAATGCTGATTCCTGACCCTTCCCTTCTGTTGGCAAAGGCAGTGGATTCTGAAGCTAACTTCACCAGGCCCCAAAGCCAATCAGTACTGACTTATAAATTCAGAATTTTTGAGTTTAGGAATCCCACATCTTTCATGGTCTGGTAGTTTCCTTCCATTCATAAGGAAAGAGAAAGCCAGAGAGGTTAAATACTTTGCCTAAAGCCACAGTACTATTCAGAAGAGCTAGAGCCAGAACTCAGGTCTGTCTCCCACCAGAGCTGCTCTCAGCCCCTTCAGTATCTGACACCAGATTTCTCCCGTGGCCCACAGAGCCTGGGCCTCAACCTCGGGCTTTTCTCATGAATGACCCCATGAACTTCTGCAACCACCTTGATCTGATCACTAGTCTCTGACATTATGACCATTATGAACATGTCAGGAAATGTCAGTCACCATGATAAACAGGGGGGCCCCAAAACTCTGGGGCTGGGATTCTGGGTGAGGGGGCAGGAGGTAGTGCAGGCATGGACATTCTAGCTTATTTTCCAGAGCAAAAAAGATCAAACTTTCCTACAGGACACACCTAGCAGAGGTCAAAATGTAGCATCGTTCTGTCCAATGCCAACATTCCCTTAGTCTGTAGATACTTGGTATGGGCAAATAGTTTAGAATTATAATCAGGCAATTTAACATGATGTACCACATATCCTGTCAATACTGATGTTTCTCAGGGAGGATCTGAAACTAAAAATAACAATAATGTCTTTTTCTCATCTCTTTCTTACCTATTCATTAATATGCTGCCTCAGATGATTTGATATTTACTTACCCTCATGGATTATTTGAAATTGAACTTATTCCACAGTAAAAGTTGGTGGATTTTCCTTCTGTTTAATTATATGTTCTCATTTTCTTCAATGATGATTTGTTACTGTTTTATAGGAACCAGATATAATTTTTCATGAATGAATTACCTTAATAATTCTGACAATATCCCGTGGACCAATAATTTCTGGATCAAATTTCACATGGGCTTTGCTGGTGGCAAGGGCCACAGAGGCATAGGTGATGCCAGTGGTTCTGGAGAGCCTGGACTCTATGTTGTGAATACAGGAAGCACAGGTCATCCCTGTGATCTGCAAGACAGGGGAACAAAACGTCACAGGACCAGGACTGAGAGGCACCTCTCACGAGCACCTAGGGGGAGCTAGGCATGGTGGTGCATGTCTGTAATCCCACCACTCAGGAGGCTGAGGCAGGAGGACTGCTGTGAGTTTGAGGAGTCTGAACTACATGTGAGACCCTGTCTCAAAAAAGAAGCACCTGGGGGGAGAGGTTAGATGACAGGAAGCCACTGGCCTTCTCCCTCTACAGCACCCTCCTAAGACTCTGAACTCTCACCCACAAGCCCATAAGCCAGATGCTCAAAGATGCTCACCCCTCACATTCCCTTTAGGGATGTAGACAGTGTTCTTCTCCCCCTGCTCAGGTACAGGAACCAGTAGCCATTTAGCAGATGGCAACAAACTAAGGCTTAACTTTGGGCTCTAATAAGAATGGACTTTTGGAAGCTATGTTTCAGTTATCTTGCCAGCAACACTAGATAACAACTGCCTCTTAAGAATAAAGGTGTGAGCCAGGGATTTAGCGCAGTGGTTTTGCCGCCTGCTGCACAAGCGCAAGGACCCGAGTTCGATCGCCAGTACCAAAAATAAAAAATTTTAAAAAAGAATAAAGGTGTAAGCCTATGCAAAACCTCTGAACTCCGAAAGGCTCTATAATTTAGAGTCTTGCCAGTGCCTGGTTTGTAGCCTCTGCTAAAACCCTCCTGTTCCAGTGCTCTGATGGCTTGAAAGAGGATGACAACAATGCTTCATTAACAACTGGAGGGCAGGACTCAGGGAGTGACCCATGGATGAAATGGAATCTGAGGGGATTTCAAAGTATAGAGAGGGTGCTGACAGGTGAGAGGCACAGTAACACTAAAGGGAAAGACACAAGGCAGGATGGCATGGGGTAGGTGTTCAGGCGATCTGGAGTCAGCTTGGCTGGCACAGGGCCTGAGAGGAAGAGGAAGGAATTTGAACTGCTGGCTGGGTCCACAGCATGAAGACTCTGGAGCAGAGCCGAAAGTTAAGCCAACACCTGATGCAAACCAAAAGGGGTAATGTGCATTGGGATGATGTGACTGGAACTGCACTAGGAAATTTGCATTAGTGATTTCAGAAAGAATAGTAAGAGATAGGATAGACCATCTGGAATTAGGGAAGGAGGGGAGCTCATCTGTAATTGGAACACATTAACCTTGGCAGGAGACCTAAGAACAATACCGAAAAGAGAGGACTATCAGGCAAGTAGGAGCTAACCTACTGGCTGGTGGCTGCAATAACAGAATCTTATCATTTACAAATATTTCAGTGGTGCTCCTAAACTCTCCTATTTTTGCAGTAATGATAAAAATTAGCACTTATGAAACACTTCCAACATGTCAGGTCCTGTCCTAGTGCTGTACAGCTCTCCCTACTCTATGAGGCAAGTCTCAAAAACAGTGTAGGATTAACTCTGGCTCTCGACAGGCAGGGCCTCACAGAGCCAAGGGGTGCTCCATAGAGACTGCTCTTATCAGGAGCTCAACGTGCAACTTGTGTTCTCGAAACTTTCTTCAAACATTTACTTAGCTCCAATGGCAGTGAATAAACATTTAAATAAGTAAAATAGTGTTACTCAGCTCTTTTGTGGTTTCTCCTAAGTCTCCATTTTCATAAAAAGAACTTTATACAGAAGTACTTCTGAAGTGAACATTTTGTCAATGCCAGAATTACCTGTTGTTTCCAATGATTTGCCAACATGCAGCTGTGCCAGAGGACAGACACAAGGCCTCCCAACTCAAACACAGTAAGAGCAATCACCACCCAAGGCATTCCCCTCAGACCTAGTGTTTTGGGATACCTTGGTCCCTAATTATCTTCGAGACCTCCACATACCTACAAGAAACCCTTTGCATCTTTGTGTGTTGTTTTTGCAGGGCCGAACACTGAGCCCAGAGCCTTGCACCCACTAGGCAAGTGCTCTACCATTGAGCTACATCCCAACCCTCTATCTTCTTTTTTTTTTTGTATATCCTTTTATTGGCACATTTTAGGTATACAATATAATGACATTCATCATTGGAGAGATGCACCTTTACATAATCTCTTGGTTCTTATTTTTTTCCCCTTCCCCTGCCCTCGCTTCAACCCCTCCATCCCTCCCTATTTACAAAGACTTTGTTTCCATTTTCTCATATTAATTCTATTCCCTTCTTTCCTTTCCGCTACCCCTACAACTTACCCTTCCCCTTTGCCACTTATCTTCTTAGTTCACATTATCTATT